ATAAGGATAGAGCAACACTACTCATTTACTACAGGCACATACACATATCACAACTTCGTTCGTTGCAAAAACAAAAGATTTTCATGCATGTATTTAATATAGAGCGAGAGAGAGAAAAAAGTGAACGGAGGGGCAGATGTTGAGCGCACGAATTATATTTACAGACTGCGCCGCGCTCGCAGCTATGGCAGTTTTATTCGCCGCTGCTGCTGCTGCTGCTGCGCGAAAACAGTCGACGACGACCTTTAGAACGAACGAACGAACGAGTGAGCGGAGCTCGCCCTTTCGCGCGCGGGAAGAGTCGTTGGCGTTCGTGTCGTGCGGTGCGCGCCCCACCGCCTATATAACATACACCCGCGTGTGCTACTTCATGCGCTCCGCACACGCATTTATAAATACGTGTGCCTTATATACGTGTGATACATGTACGTACACACGAATACGAGCGAACTCGTTTTTTTGCTTGTATATCGTATATAGTACGTGTAGTCGACGACGACGACGTCGACAAAATGAAATGAAGTGGGCGCGAGGGGCCAATCGGACGACGCCGACTTTTTGCCGATTTATATAACCCCTCGTCTCTCGCGTGTGCCTGCACACGACTGCAGCAGCAGCGGCAGCAAGAAAGCCAAAGCTCACGAGAGCCTATATGTGGCAGCAGCAGCAGCAGAGAGGATGTAGTCCGCGGAGCATATAATGTACACGCGCGCGCGTGCATCAGGCTGTGTATATGGAGGGCAAACCTGTGCGTGTCCTCGACTTCGGTGTAGTTTCTCGTACTCTCTTTAAATATACCATTGCAGTATATACACTACACGTATAAGCGGGGCCCTTCTTTCTGTAGTTTTTTTTTCTGCCTCGTTTTTCTTCGTTCGCTCGCGCGTCTCGGTGCGCATCATTCGTGCACCGCTGGTGCATGCGATTGCATCGAGCTCTCTCTCTCTCTCTCTCTCTCTCTCTCTGTCTTTGGCTAAACGCGAGCGCGTTCTTGAACTTCGACTTTATGCTCCAGTCGTTCCCGCTTTTTTTTTCTCGCTCGACGTCGGAGACTTTTGCTGTTTCTGTATATAAACACGTTACAGCGACGAGCAGCGCAACACGGTCGAGTGCTCTTTTTATTTTGCTTTTTTTGTCGTTGTTGCTGTTGTTGTTTTGCGTTCGTCGATTGTTTTGCACGATCGAACGTCAATAATAATAATCTTTGAAAAGAGAGACAGGGAGATAGAGAGAGAGCAGCAGCAGTCGTAAGTACACAAACGCGATAAAAACATTTCGTTCATTCATTTATTTTTTCTTTTTTTTGTTTTCAATCATCGGAATCGCCAGCGAACGTCATTCTGAAAATATTACATACATCTTTTATACCTCGCCTGCAGTCTCTCGCGCGCACTTTAATGCGAATTACGAGCCTTCGGTTAACGATTAAAAACGCACACACACACAGGCACGCACAGGCAAGTGCAAGGCTATTGTTGCGTGCGTATTAAAAAACACGCATAAACGCGAGAAATATAATCTCGATGTGTATAATAGGCCGCCGCCGCGTTGCGCTCAAAAGCCCGACTTATATACTACTACACGTGTTTGTGCGCTATATATCTGCAAGATTCACGGAAAGATGCGGAGGTAAGATTTCGCGCGAATCGCGACGAGGAGCGTATATATATAGTGGAATAGATATACAAGGTATACCCGCGCGTAAGATGGACTGTCAACTTCTGCCTCTCTTCGCGGAAAGATCGTTTGACCGGTATATATGAGATATATATAAAGGCGAGAGACCTCGACTACAGGGAGTAGTTGCGACTGCTCTCTTGACACGCTTGAAAAGACAAACGGCCAGACGTTAACGGCCGAGCCTTCGGGGGAGACTTTACGAACTGTATATACTCGGTATATATATTATGACACAACGAGTCCGCGATGGAAAAATGTCAGAGAGTTTAGAGTGGATATAGCGACGAGAGACACTGTGCAGAAAAGAAACACATTTTTTCCATTCGATCATCGACTGTATACGACAACGCGACTCATCTTTTACACAAACGTCGTTGTCGTCGTCGTCGTGTATTTATTATCATTATTATGCACAGTCCGCCGGTCTCGCGTGATCTTATCCAGTCTTCGTAGCTGATAACAATAAAATAACGGCAATTTTTCGTGTCCGCCAGTGCGCGTATAATATACATTCAATGTAACGAAACGTAAAGAGCGATTTCGTACTGTTGTGTGCACGAAAGGCTGTGTACACACGATCTTACGAGATTCGAGTGTTTTTGTTTACACTTGTCGCAGAAATTTAAATGTCTCTTTCCGCGCACACGCGCCGATTTTGCGTTTTATCGTCGCAGGTCATCATGCTAATGAGCGGGGGGCATCTCGATGAGTAATAATGTATACGCAGCAGCACGCAGCTGTGTCGCTCCGCGCGCTGCTTGTGAGCAGGACACGGCCCACACTTTTTCGGGAATAAAATTCCCATACATCAATAAATTCGCTCGATGAAATGATACGTATATTAACGGCCGAGTGAGTCATCCGCGAGGCCGATGTAATACATTTCGCATCGTTATTCCATCGATCGATTATAAAAATTTGTCAATCGTGTATAATCGAGCGCCGCGTTCGTGATAATAATAATAATAATAATAATAATAAAATACACCTAAGGCGGCGTATTAGGTCAACTTCTTAAATTAAAAGTCCGCAACATCGATGATCTAACCCTGACATTTCGTAAAGACAAAAAAAAAACACGTGCGCGTGTGCGTGTTGCCACTCGAGCTTGACCGAAATAAAATTTATATTTATCCATCGCGCTATCGGCTGCTGCCTCTGCTGCTGATGATGATGACTTATACCAGCTCTGCTGCTGCTGCTGCCTGACGCGCTCTCGAGGAATTGCGCAATGGGACGCGAAGAGAATATAATACAATATAATATAATGACAGTGCCGCTATATGTATAGGAGAGACGGACGCAGACGAAGGAGAGAAAGACACAAAAAAAAATTGAACGAGGAGAGGAACGTTTTATGTATACGTATTGTATTATTTGCCAAGTGGGTGAGGACGAAGCGGCGCACTGGGCCACACGCCCGCTGCCGCCTGTGCAGTATGCGTTATCTCTCTCTCTCTCTCTCCTCCTCGATTCCCTTGTAAAAGCATACACATATACACATAACGATATCGAGAGCGACGAATACATAATACACGTCGCAGGAAAAACAAAACTTGGCAGAAACTCGGGAACACGAAGCGAAGCATCGACTTTGCTATCCATGCGTATGCTTGTATGTGTGTGTGTGTGTGTCTCTCTCTCTCTCTCCCTCGTGCGTTCACTTTCTCTCTCTCGATCCTCTCTTTCGGCACACACACACACGCATACATCGAGGGCAAAATGGCGTCGTCGTCGTCGTCGTCTTTGCACGAACTCTTTACATATAATATTTGAGACACTTGGCAATCGAGAGGAGGAAGAAAAAAAGACGAAGAAGTTTTTTCTTTTACTCTCTTATCGTTCGGCCGCGAGCAATGATTACTCCTCGTGTACGTGTATGAGTAAAGTGTATCCGCGAGCTCGAATCTCTCGTCGCACGGAGCCGATCATCGTGTGTGCGTATAATATATAACAGGTCTCGCCTACGCGTGTATATACGCCTGTGTATACGCGTGTGCGTGTGTGTGTGTGTACATAGCGTAGCCACCTACAGCAATACGGAGACAGAGAGAGAGAGAGAGAGTCTGTATATTATAACGTGCAAGACTCCAAAAGGCAATCTTCCGGAGAAAGAGAGAGAGAGAGCACGAGATAAAAACACCATGGAGCGAGGTATATCATACATATATAGGAGCGGCCGCATTGCGCCCGTGTGTGTGTTAATGTGTGTGTACGTTTTACGTCCGTGCACCAACACACACACACACATATAGGCCAGCCGCCGGCTCGCTTTATAATCAATCGCCGTGGCAACGAAACGTCGAGGACTCCTTTTACGGGTCGTGCACACGCACACACACACACACACGTACGACACGATAAAACAGCAAACTGCTATATGGAGCGTCGTGTACTACTACTACTACTACTACTACTGCGGCAAGTGGCACGATCCGTCGTCCGGCCTAACCTCTTTCTCTTTCTTGCCCCTGTCATTATTACATGTATACGTGTGTGTGTCTGTTACGCCCCTCTCGCTCTCGCTCTCTCTCTGCACATGGGCCATGGCTGCAGACATATACACGCACCGCATCGACACTGTTTTATATTTTTCGTGCGCTGACGACATACACACACACACACTCAACGCACGGACGAAAGAGAGGATGACGGCGAGTCGTCGTCGTCGCCGCGGCGACACACCCCGTGCGAACGGCGCGCGTGGCGCTGCCGTAGCTGCTGCTGCTGCTGCTGCTGCTCGTGTGTGTATTATTACTATAGTATATCGAGAATGCCTCGCGCGTGCATATAATGTCAGATAGCGTATATTATACGCATATATTGTAAGGCATCAATACAACGATTCGCCGTTCAAAACTGCACTTTTGTAAACGCAATACCGCTGCCTTTATACCGCATTTTATTGTATAGGTTTAGCGCGTAGCAGAGCACTCGCGGGGTTCTTCTCGTATCGACTCGAAGAGTCTATCCGCACGAAGCGACGTATAGGATAAATGTACGAAATAATGGGTTTTAGCAAACAAGTATAGAATAGACGTCGAGAAACGAACGAGAAAGAGAGAATCGAGCAGAGGACAGGCAGCCGCGAGTCGTTTGTGTGTGTGTGTGTGTGTGTGTATTAACACTGCTGCGGTGCGCGGCGCCAGGGCGCGGTTATTATGCACGCACACTTACGCTTACACATCTATAAGGCAGAGTTCGCGCGCGCCTATTACATACGGCTCGCAGCGACACGAGGCAAAGATATAAGATGTGTTGTATCAACAACAAAAAAAAGTAAATAAATGAAGACGTCTCGCGCTTTTTTTTTTACTTACTTTGGCAGATCGAGCTACGGTCTCTCTGATGATAAAATGCGGCGACCCTGGGCGGCGGATGGTGGATTTTTATTCGGTCCGCGCGCGCCTCTCTGCGTGTGTGTGTCTGTGTTTTATATCGTATATATATCTATATGCGTCGTCCGTGCGGCGAACAGCCTCCCTCTCTCCTCTTCTATAATACGTATACTTCTTCTTCTTCTTCTTTCGCGCACACACGGCACACTACTCCATACAGCACTATACTCCTTTCTCGATTCTCGCCGCTGCTGCCCGTCACACACAATTCGCTGCTGCTATCTGCTGCTGCGATACGACGATGACTGCACGTCGTCGTCCTCTCTCTCTCTCTCTATGTTCGCGGGTCGAAGATCAGTAGTGCGTAAGAAAGAGAGTCGTTGTTGTTGCTGCTCGTGTTTATTATGTATTATTATAGATGTAAAATTATAAACACACACGAGATCACGAGCGCGCGGCTAGCTTAGCGTAGGCTCGAATTTTGCGCGCGCACACACACACGAACACAAAATATTATATATTGTTATATATCCGCTCGACGGCAAATATATAAAATACGCGAGAGAAGAAAAACTTTCAGAACTGCACCAAGAGCATTTTCACACACGCGCGCGCGCACACACACACCGGAACCTTTCGTCGTTGTTGCGTGCGTTCGAAATCAAAAATTTAACTCGTTATACACTCGCTTTAAACGAGCGAGCGAACGAAAAAACAAACGAGCGAGTATACGAGGGAAAATCCACCACGATGATGTCGTTGTTGTTATTATTATTATTGGCTCTGTCGCGCGCGCACTGCACTGCACTGGTATACACACAAGAGCAGAGCACACTGCACACCGCTGCACACCAGAGAGGGAGAGACAGAGATATCGGCGAGGGCGCGTGCACTCACACACACACACACACAAGAACGTTGAAAAAACTACTGCGCGGGGCGGTGCGAGTAGTTATTTAATATATTACTACCGAAAGTTGCGGCAGTGCGTGGTGGTGGTGGTGTGTTGTAAACGACTTCGTGCGATCCTTACGACACACGCTCCGTGACTGATTCAGCTCGGGCAATGCTGCTGAGTGCTGCCGCTGGCCGAGTGCTGCGCCTGCTACGGGGCACAGAGGTATTATAATATGATACACGCGCGCACACACGCGCACACACACACACGGAACTGAGACACGGATGTGTTGTACGATTAAAAGCGACGTCGTCCGCCTTTGGTGCGGGCCACTGACTGACTGACTGCTGCTGCTGCTGCTGCTGCTCGCGGCCGAGCGCCTCGGTGGAGCTGCTGCCTGCTGCTGGTGTATACAGTATAGTATAGTACGTGTGCGTATACGCGAGCGGCGCTGCACGACGACGCGTTTTCAGTAGTATACGTCTATGTGTGTGTGTAATATAGTGAAATATACGCTCTCGAGCCGCCGCTATTTTCCCCAGGCGCTGCGCTTCTATATATATATAGCTCGGCTGGTTGCTCTGCTGGAACTGGAACTGGCGTGTATTACAATACTGCACTTTTGCTCGGCAGCGAGATGTCGAATAATCGAAAACGAGACGCGTGTAATAATGGTGATGTTCCTTATTAGGTGCAATATGATGCTTAACGAAAAGTCTCTTTGGGCTTTCTTTTTTAAGAGCCAGAGTGACTGTATGTAGATGATGACTGGGCGCGTAATTCGTACCATATTTGTGTACGGCAGACGCAAGTGAAATTTTACTAGTAATAGGAGCCGCCCCCGTGCCACATATGTACATTTTCATACGGCAGTGGCATGTGTGTACTACAGCAATGAAAATTAGTCCCACTTATCTGACCGGCGTATTATAGTTGCAGTAGTAGTGTGCCTACCGAGTCTGTGCGTGGTCTTACTTACTGAATCGACTTCAGTGTAGCTCAGCTGTATACTCGGTGTACAGTGTTAAGTACGACTCCGCCACGCGTGTACTACAAAAAAAGAGATATCGCATCGTGGCAAAGTGATTTTGGTGAAAAAAATAAAAATTATCTCGAATTATACGGGATCGTGTGAGTTTGTTGGTTGTGAGTGCACGCAGTACGATTAATATGAACGACCATCACGACGAGCTCGCAGAAGTGGATCTTCTTGACCAAGAATACGTGGACGAACGAAGAGTGAATATAATTCCTAACCAAGAAACATTAAACAATTTGAAGAGTGCGTATGAAAAAGTCAATTGGGATAACAAAAGAGAGCGAGAGAATTTCGTTTACGACCAACTTGACCCTTTAATCGAAGATTGGCTTACGAGGGATCAACTACCGGATCTCCGAGAGACATTTCGTCCCGAAGAAATTGAAAAAATTCTAATGGTACTTGCAAATAATGATTCTGATTTCGATGGAGAATTATTCCAATTCGTCGAGTTTGTGGCTCGCAGCGGCTGCTACGAGGACCAGCCAAAGGTAGACGAAGCGGGCAAGCCTCTGTTGCGTCGCACCACACCGTTGCATTATCAGGTCGATGGAAGCGATAAGAAAATCGTCGAAAATCTGTTCAAAATTTATAACAGATTTGATGTCAACTATATCGACAATTGTGAAGTCACGCATTTCCATGTGGCCTGCGAGGTCGGCTGCGTCGACGTGGTCGAGAAGTTCTTGGAACTGGGTCAGGACCCCAATTGCCTTGCACAGACCAAAGTTTCCCCGCCGCTTTTCTGGTCTCTGAGATCCAGTAGAAAGGAAATGATCCCATTGCTGCTGAGTCGAGGTGCGGATGCGAATTTGTCGTGGTCATTTGACGGATCGTCAGCTCTGCATGTTATTTGCGAGAGAACAGTCGACGATGACATGATAGACATATTCTTCAAGGCCATCGATGACACTCGGCAAACAGTGCAAATCGATGCCCTCAACAACGATAATCGTACACCGCTCCAATTGGCTGCGTCGAATTTTTTACCTCACGCCATCGACGTACTTTTGGATCGTGGTGCTAATTTGTCGAGCTTCGTTTTTCCAACCGAGAGGACCACCGGGGACTTTACAGAGAGCTATTGTCCTGACTGCAATTTCAAATTGAGACTAGCATCTGGCACTCTGGCGGTTTTCGAGCGCCTGGAGAAAAGAGGATACAAATTGGTCCGAGACGACGTCCTGCAGATCTCGAAATTGTTCGCCAAGCGAAAATTGTTCGAGAAGTCGGTGGATCTTGAAAAAAGTTGGTGCGATGACGAGAAGTTTGCGAGCAAAGCGAAAAAATTTATGGTAAAACCGGACCTGTCGCTCCACGACCTGATCCAGTTGCGACCCGAGGAGGCGTCGAGACGACTCACGTACTCCGACTACTTGGCTTTGGCGCGCTCGAGAGAATTTAGGGGACTCCGATGGGAACATCGGAAGCCCGGTGGAAATCATCTGGATACTTGTGCTGTGCATCTGTGCGAGAAACTGTCGAGAGGATTTTTCCGTGCAATCGCATTGTACCCTTTCTGGGATCTTATTCACAAACGTCTACCGCTTGAGATCTGTGAGATGATCTTGGGGCATCTAACGAACGAGGATTTATGTAATATTTACGTGGCTGCTGCGGGACAAAACTCGTGATGGCGATATGAATTGTTTATGCTAGTTTGTAATTTCTGATGCTATTTCAATGACAGATTGAATATGACAGATTGATTATGACAGATTTTCCATGTAATTCAAATAAATATAGTAAAAATATGATGTATCAAAATTATTTCAAGATCCAAAATATCAAGATCGAGTAATTAATGATCACAATTCGCCGCTGCCTACGAAAACAGTAACTCAAAAATTTGCTGTGAAGATTATACTCCAGATAATCGTTATTTGGTTATTTTGCATTACGTTATTGTTCAAAAGCGATTGTTTTCGTGGGCAGCGGCGAACTATGAGCTATGAAATTTAATCGAATCGAATACTTTTGTTAAAGATCGATTCTCGATGATCGTTGATTTTCATAGGAATCCGCCGATCTCTTTTTGTAGCTCGCGCTCGTGCAAGTTTGCAATAAGCGACATCCGTCGGCTCGTCGCTGCGATAAACGTTCGAATTTTGAACTATCGCAGACCCGTGTTCGAGAATTCTATACGCGCCGCATTAGGTACGATATATAACGTCAACCTCCGTTCGCCACTTGCTCAGCGGCGGGTAACGTAGATACTTTTACGACAACGTAGAGAGCAATTTTTATAATACGAAGCGGAGAGGGCAAGTGGCGATATTCAATGACCGACGCGATACGAGTCGCGAAGCTTATATTGTATGGTTTATAAATGTTTCGTACGGCCCGTTTCACAATCGAAGTCGGATTCGAAAAAGCCAGCAAAAAAATACCCACTACCCACAGTATATTCCAGTCTCATCCGGAATTTTTTTTCTCTCTTCCTTTGGTCGGAGCTGCGCGCGCGGATATCGCTCGAAAAATTCCCAATTAGGCTCTCGCGCGTATATCATATACAATACATCCGTTGCGCGTACCATAATACACTCGCGTTCGTCTATACATCGAAACGGAATCCGTTTCGTTGAAAATGTAATAATAACAAGAAAGAGTTCGAACTTTCTCGAATGTACTGGCGAGTTCGATGCTATATGGGAAATTTAAAATACGCAAATATAGCTCGCTCGGATGGCTGATGTAAAATTTTGTACTCGGAAATTTTCCCGCGGGAGGAGAAACGCCGACGATGGCACTTGCGTTTTATTGAAATTAGCGCGATTTATGACAGTCGCGGCGGGATGACGACGATATCTCGTATATGGCACGTGTGTGGCGGCGTAACACGAATGAAATGAATCACCGCCATGGTGTATGCGACAACAACAACAACAAGTAGCAGTAGTAGTAGTAGTAACGAGAAAGTACAAAACAAACCAAAAATCAACGAGTTTTTTCTTTTGATTTCTTGCTTTATCAATCTCGAGATTTAATCTCGTTACCCACGTGCGCGCGAGTCGCGTCAAAAGCCGTGCAATTATAATACAATATAATGTATAACGATCGGTATATCGTGTATTAAACAGCAGCTGGTGGGATGAATCGGTGCGTGGGCATGCCCGATAACAGTACGTAAATACCTGTATATATTACGTTATATATAATATACATACAACGAAGTGGATACGCACGCGATCTGTGCTTCTCCAAAGACGTCATTATATTTATAAAGCACATATATACTTCGTAAGATATCGCGCGTTTGCTATATGTGATGAATCGCGCATGCGGCGATGTGTATAGTAAAAAAAATTTTCCCAACTACATAATAACGCGCCACGGACGAGTAAAACGCGAGAAAACGTTGGCAGCGCCAAACTAACAGTGCGCCAATCTTCGTGTCTCTTTCTAACATTTGGCTCGGCCTATGCTACCTACCCGCGATATATATATACCGCTGTTGTTCATGCGTGTATACAAACGCGCAGCGAGGCAGAAAGAGATAGATAGAGAGAGAGAGAGAGAGAAGGAAAATCAAGTTAGCACTCCGCTACTACGTAGGACTGTCGGGCGGCTCGGAGCCAACAGTTAGCCAGCTCGCGTCTCTCGCGCACGATATATATATATATACACACATAGAAGTGTAGATATATGTACACAACGTATATAGGTACACACACAACAACAACGGCCAACTCTCGCTTGGCTTGTTCGAGAGCGCGAGAGAGAGAGCGAGCGCGAGCTCCGACGGTAAAAGAGCTCCGAGTGTATATAAGTACCGCAGTGTCTCGTGCTTTTTTTTTCTCTTCTTCTGTTTCCTTCGCCACGGCATATAGAAATATCGTCAGTCTGTTGTATCTAAACACACAGACTGGTTGATACACACGAATATCCCAATAAAGTGCTAGGATTAAAAGCGACGTATACACAAACGCGGCCAGCAAAACTGCACGTATACGCGAGCAGACAGCAGTAGCGAACTGTGTTTGTGTGTATGTGTGTGTCAATGTGCGCTGCTGCTGCTGCTGCTGCTCCGAGTTGTCTGTTGTACAAATAAGGGAGCTTTCCGCCAGTCCCTCGTTGGCTGGCTGGCACTGCTGCGCGGCTGCCTGTGCTGCTGCTGCTGCGTTATATATATATTACAGAACGTTATTATTACATTGTTATTGTATACGAGTCTTCGTCGACGGTCGTCGTCGTCGTCGTCGTCGTTCGCTAGCAGCAGCTGGTAATAATATATCAAAGTCCAAGAGTTCTCGCGGCTCGCTCGTTGGTATTGAGTTAAAGTGTGTCGCGTGTTTTTATCATCTGATAAGTGTGTGTGAGTGTGTGTGTGTGTCAGTCAGTCAGTCAATAAGTGTGTGTGTGTGTGTAATTCTTGACCCGCGCGCAGAGTGTGCACAAGCAAGAGAGAAACAAGTGTTCGCGATAACGCCGCGTTACTACTATATACGAGGCAGAGAACCAAGAGCAGCGAGACAACGGAATTTTCATCGTCGTTGTTGTCGTCGACGCAGTCCACGGAGCAAAAAATTGCAGTGAAATCGACTGTATCTGTGTGTGTTTGTGGGTGTGTGTCTCTCTCTCTCTCTGTGTTTGATGCGTGCAACACGGAGCACCATCGAAGAGGCGACGAGTATATTTATTTATATATACGCGTGTGAGTAGTAGTGGTGCTGCTACTGCTGTCACGTATTACCACCAACACAGGCCCGCGTACACACACGTACATATACGACGCAGGGATTCTCCGACATAGCTCCGCGTACATAAGTGAGAGACGACGAGGAGTATAAAAACGCGTGTGCACGTCGCCTACGTAAATTTATATAAAAAAAAAGGAGTCAGTGTGCGTGCAGTGTTTTGTATACACACGTGAAATTTTTGTCGTAAAAATTGACCCTCGCGCGTGTGCGTATGTTCGTGTGTGTGGGTGAGCATCGCCCATTGAGAGAGAAATACACTCTGCTATATATATGTAGTACATATATATAGAATCGAGAGACACGAGCTGCACTCGCTTGGCCCTTTGCACTGAATGCAGCCTGCTGCTGCTGGCCTCCGTTTCTTCGTACACACACACATACAAGCTGCGCGCGATATCAAGTGGAGGATTAATGAATCGTAATCGTCTGTACAGCGCTACGAGAGAAGGATTATATAGAAAAGCAGTGATTGATCGACGCCATTCGTTGTACATATTATTATAAATACACGTCGACCGTCTGTATATTAATTTAAATGAATTAAACAGGACTTAGGTTTAGATAAAAAAAAAAATAAAAGCGGAACCACGTCAATTATACATCCGATACATACAGGCTAACACACATATCCGTGAGAAGGAGGGAACTCGTATTAGTATATTGCATATTCTACTTCGATCGATGTATTCGCTCGCCTGTGTGTGTAGTAATATCTACGTCCATTAGAAGAAAGAAACATTTACTACTGTAAGATACAAGCTCGCAAGTGCTCTGTTCCTAAATACTCGCACACACACATACGCAAGAAGTGTGCACCAGTGCAGTTATCAATATACGCCTATATAGCGTAGCAGAAGACGAAGCAGAAAATATAAAAATATAAAAAAAAAAAAAAGGAAGGAAAAATGGTGCAGCAGTATCAGTCACCCGTCCGGGTTTACAAATATCCATTTGCCCTCGTCATGATGGTAAGTTGGCCTGATTTCTCTCTCTCTCTCTCGCTCGCGAGAGAGCTCGTAACTCGTGTGCGCCTCGCTTTTAAGCCTTAGTGTTATACCTTCGGTACACACTACGTATATACACATATAACTTCGAAGCGTGTGGCGTATAACGTGTACATGACTATATAATATCGCGCGGCCGATTCTCTGGAAAATCGAATGGACGCGAGCTTCATTTATTTATTTATTTTTTTTTATTTCTGCTGGCATCGATATTAAGAAAAAAAGACCTTTCCAGTTCGGTTCCAAAACGACTTTAGATCCTTTTTTTTTTACTGGAAATTGTCCAAGCTTTTTAGAAATAAAAAAATGCTCTAAAAGGGTGACTCTCTCTCTGGAGCACTTTGGAAGCCTACGCTGTATACTACCCATGGAGAGAAGCGCATAAAAAAGTCAAAATCTAATTTAGTTCGATTCCGGACTTTCATTACTCCCCCTTCGGAAAGCCAAATTCACAGAACTCTCTTGCGTTGTCGACCGATACCCTCTATACAAAGTTTCTTAATGGGCTTTTGATGGTCTAACTAACGGACTCGAAAAATTCAAGAGTATTCGTACACGGCGCCGTCGTTGGAAAACTCGGTGAATTTTTTTTTTTTTTTTTTGCAGCTAAACGATGCTCGATTGAATTTCGACGACGATGTTTCTCTCCGTGGTATTGGAGTTTTCAAAGTTCTCGGACCCTTTTCGAGTGATTTTTTTTTGTACCTGAAAGTTTGGTTAATTTTTAGTGAAAAAGCTCTGCAGCCCTTTTTCCCCAAAGTCTCTCGAAATTTGTTCAAATCTGCAATAAGCACGAATTTCAGAAAAACTCGTACCTCCGAAAAAGTTCGAGTAAAAATTCTAATTGAAATTTGAATGAAAAACAGCATGACATCGAATTTTTTTTTTTTTGACATTAGATTTCGCTGAAAATCGGCCGCGTAAATGTATCATAAGGCGCACACTCGCGCTACACAATACGTCGAATCGTCTATAAGTAGGAGGCTTGATAAGGTAATTGTGTCCTGCACATTGACTTTATGCGATATAAATAGGAGACGACGAGAATCCTTTGTGTATCGTCGCACGCACATAAACGGCGGCAAAATCGGTCCACGTGCCGCATTATAAATGTCAAATTGGCAGAATAGCAGAAGAAGCGGCCGAGTATAATGATATATAGACTTCTCGCCTCTTTTGTGCGCGCCTCTCGGTATACCACCCCCGTCTTTCCTCTGCGTCGTGCATCGTCGTTAAGTAAGGCATAGTGTAGAGTTTTCCGTGCGGCCTTGTGCCTGCGGAGCTTACACGCACACACATACACGACGATGTTTCGCAGCGAGGATGACACGCCGCGCGCAAGGCATGCATCATCATCGGCAATACTTATATTTATACTTATAGGTAGGATACACGCGTGCGATGCACGTGAGACGCGCGGATAATCGAGAGGAAAAAAAAACCAATGGATTTATCTTCTTCCAATTCGCCGATAGTGCGTCCGTCTCGCGACGATCAATCGCGGCCATTTATATATATATACGTACACAACGTACCGCGCAAGGTCGTCTCTGTTTTGACTAATCGTTTGTTTTGAAACGCGCGTGTGCTCTTGTGTCGTATCCTTTAATGAATATATACATTACTCACTCGCGAGTACATCCGGCTATCGAGAAGAAAAAAAAAATAAACAAGAGTGAGAGAGAAAAAAATCCGTCGTCTGCTGTAATGTCTATCTCTTTCTCTTTCTTTCCAAACTTGGCTGGCATTCCTCGGGCGCTTTGATTGCCGTGTACGCGTTGGCAGTCCTTTAAATACTCCCGATCTTGGCTGCATTCTTAGCGCGACGCGCGACAATTTGATTCGTACATTATATATATAAATACATAGTCTCAGGCTTTAACGGGCCGCTGTTGCACACAAATCGAATGATCACTCGGTCTAGCGGACGAACTCGCGTCTGCCGCTCTTACGTAATCGCGTAAATATGTGTGTGTGTGTGTTGGCACGCGCATGTAGATACATGTGTGTACATGCATAAATTTGCGAGTTATGCAGTCGTTTCGGAATTCTTCGGAACTGCATGCATTACACGTATTATAGTTTAAACCTCCGCTTGAACTTGCTTCTTTCTTCGCGTCTGCGTGACATAAGCCGCGGGTCGAATATTATTAAGCCGTTTAGGCATTTTTGCGCAGCTCGGCGCTCATTCCCTGGCACAGCCGATGCACTCATAATCTTGCGCCGATCGCGATATACATATGGCGCGAGATCGAAACGGATTATTTTTCCCCGCGAGTAGTTTTTTTCTTTATCTATAATTACGAGTACTTACCAGCGGCGCGTTTGGGACAATAAATCTCATCGAACGCGTTTGATATTTCCGTGAAATTTCATCATCGCTCTACGCTTTTGTACAAATTTATAAATTCAAACGAGTCGAGTGTTTTTTTCCCCCAACGGCGCTCGTTTATAGCATCGACGCGACGGACGCGCGACTCAACGGAGTGATATCATTTTTTTTTTTTAATTAGATATATACAATGCGGTATACGCTCCGATGTGTTGCCGGACACCGCGCCGTTGCATCTCATCAACAACGACGAAAACAAAAGCAGTCCGTTCTCGAGAGACGAAAAAAAAAATATCATTATCGCTTTTATCTCGCACACTCGACTGCGCGAGCTTTGTTTATTATACCTCTTTCGGTTTTTCCTTCTTTCCTTCTGTTTTTTTCTCTCGTGCGCGAAACGAAAATAAAGTAGATCTCTTGGCGCCGCGTATCGTGTACATCGAGGTGTATTTCAATATTCTATATATATCCTATAAATATACCTATGAGCATAATCGTCGTTACGTGTCTCGGAACAATTATCATCGCGTACGAATGGAGAGTATTGCAGTCGCAGATAAAATAATTAATACATCTATATAGTACGCATGGCTATACGTATTTTTGCGAAACTGTTTTCTAACGCGTACACTTACATCTATATAGCACGTGCTATAATTTTCGAAACACGCTCGTGACTAGGCACGTTTCGGCGTCTACACGTATGTGTGCATATCACAATGTAAGAACGAAAAACTCGCGGGCGGTCTTCGCCACTCGCAACTCGTGTGTATAGAAACATATATTTATAGCGTTTTTCAACGATAAATAATCGCAGGGCCACGCGTACTTTACTTATGTACGTTATATATACGCCTCTTTGCCATACGACACATGGACAATCGATAAGTTCGTACTCCGTACAAAGAAAAATGACGTTTTCTCCTTCTTTTTTCCTCGTCTTCGCCTTTCTTCTTGACGAAAAGCCGTGACCGCGGCTCGCGCCCGGTTAAAGTGCACGAATATGGATTATATATATACGAACACGCGCCGCGCGCGAAGCTCGACTTCGCGTGTGCTCTTCTTGCGTTGTACTTAAAAAAAAAAAAAAAAAATTTGCGTGTGTGTGTGTGTGCTATACTGCTGCACTCTCTTTCTCTCGATGTACATGCATGCTCTATAGCCGTCCTTGTTACGGGCTCGCGCGCGCGCTAAAACTTTCACAAAGGTGAAAACACCTCGGTCGGCCCGTGCATATACGTGTACATAAATAATTGCGTATGTATTAGGCGAGTATGTAAACTGACCGCATATGCAGCGAGAAAATAATGAAAATGACCCGGGATGGATTATTTCGTTTTTTTTTTTTTTTATTTATTTCGTTACAGCCTGTGCGAGCTCGCGGCCGGTAAGGAAAGAAAAAGAATATCGTCTTGCGCTATTTTCCTTTCGAATTATCGATAATTCGTAGTGCCGGTGTAATGAGTTTGACATTGCCTTGGGGAAAAATGTAGCGGCGTGGCGCCTGTATTGGTATTAATAGTGGCCGCACTCGCGAATACACACACACATCTGCATCATTTGTGTATAAGGATTATCACAGTCATTTTGTCTAGCTTCTCTGCCTTGCAGCGATGAGCTCTATTACAGCGCAAATACTATATACAGGCACGACATGCATGCATGTGTCTATATTGCCATCTGAAATGGCACACACTCGTCTGACCTTGAAATAGTTGGATGGTAGATTTAATCGAATGATTTAATAAATAGGCAGCTGCTGCTGCTGCCTCTGTAAATGCGTGTTTATTTGCAACTCTTTTCAATTGCTCGATATTACTTTTTCTCTCCGTTTCGATTCGCGCGAAACACGCGGAGAATGAGCAAACGCGAAAACGTTACCAGCGTGTCGATTGTAAAGTTGTAATTACGAAAATTCGAGGCGTTATTTTCGAGCTAATCGCGACAATGCCTCGGCTTTTCTCGACCTCGAATAATTCAATCGTAACACGCATGGGGTGCCACTTTTATGAAAAAAAATTAACCTTTTTTCTTTCTCTCTTTGTTTTTCTACAGGCGTACGAGCGGCGATTCCCCACGTGTCCGCAGATACCGGTGTTCGTCGGCTGCGACGTCACCCTGGACGAGGAGAGCGAGGACGGCGCCATCAGGACGACCGAGAGAAGATGCAAATTGAACGTCGACGCGCCGTACCTATTGAAAAAGGTAATTGTCACGGTGTCGATTTTTCCTGTATCGAGTTTCTCGCCGATGATAACGCACAATCTGCGCGTCGAAGCGACACGTCGATGATCGTTATTTTCTTTTTCCATCTCTCCGATTTCTTTTTCTTTTTCATTGTCCGACAATTTCATTCTGCAGATCATCGGCGTCGACTTCGTGTACTTCATTCAGAAGAACATCTTGGATCGACGCAACAATGTACTGGAAATCGAAGCTTACAACGAGAGCTTCGCGTCGAGGGTCACCGTTTTGGAAAAGTGCCGATATTTCGTGAGTACCCAAACTGAATGACTCTCAAAGCTGCGGCAGTATGCGTGAAAAAAATAATAATACTGAAACTTTCATCTCGATTCTTCAGATTCATCCGGAAAATCCCGAATGGACTTGCTTCGAGCAGACGGCAAGTTTGGATATTAAAAACTTCTTCGGCTTCGAGAACTCGATGGAAAAGTTGGCCATGAAGCAGTACGCCCAGAACATTGCCAAGGTAATACCGGATATCAAATCGGTCGGACATTCTATGGGTTGTATGATCATTGAAGAGTTGAAGAATACTCTTAAAGAGAACATTTTAACCTTCAATTCCCTGGTGGATCTAAGAAGGCTCAAAGCTGAATTTTCATTTTTTAATAGTTGCTCTGCTTTTCTGGTGTGAATGTGGATACATTGTCGGATCGTGTTTTTTACGCCAAGTTTGATGAGGTATTCAGATGTTTTGTCAAAAAGTATGTTTCTGTCCTAAAAACCTTCAAAAATGAAAATAAGGAATAAAAGTCCAAAAATAAAGTCATTCCTCTCTTGCGAATAGACCAGAATTGAAATATGTAATTTGTAAGACCAAAATAACACCCTTTGCTTAATTTCATTCAGCAGTTGACTCTTAGAGACAATTTGAAAGCATTCAAAGAATAAAAATTGTTTTTTTATTCAATTTTATGAATTTTCCATATTTTCATCCTGTGCATGCGGTCGAATTGTATTTTATAGTCAATTGATTAATAAAATTTAGCTAAAGCTGTATTTTGGTATTTAAAACTTCATATTTGAATTCGGGTCTCTTCATTGCCGACAAATAACTTCATTTTTCGACTCTAAAACTAAATGTTCGTTTTTTAGTGTTTTCATGGGGTTTTCAGAATATGCTCATGATTTTTGACAAAACATCTTAATAACTCATCAATTAATTTTACATAAATGTTTACGATTCAAATATTTTTTAATACTTATCCCAAAAGAGCAGAATAGAATTTCAAACTCGAAAACCCAAGTTTCAGTCTCTGTAAATCCATACAGGGTGGATCCGAAGAGTTACAATTTTCAGGATTTGTAAGCTTCAAAGTAATTTTTTGAATTTTTAACTTTTTGTCATACAACCCATAGAGCTCTCCCGAGAGGCGATGCAAATGTATCGGCCGAGAAGAATTTTTTTCGCTGACATTATGAACGAAATTGCAGGGCAAAGAAATCATTGAATATTTCGTCAATCAATTGAAAGACGAAGGCATCACGTACGTCGAACCGTGGAGGGATCCAACGACAGACCCGAGCGCCGAAAAAGACAAGTACGTTCCATATCGTTGGCGTTCACTGGCCACTCAATAATGACCAATCGTTTATTACATTCTCCTTTCTTTACCGCAGATCGTCTCCAAAAGAAGAAAAGAAAGAATTAGCCAAACTCCACGAGCACAGCTCGATCGAAGGAAAGCTCCCAAGTAATAGAGGTACAGGGCAATTCAGTATCGGTTGTGCGCTCAACTGCTGAGCTACTCTTTTTAATCATAATAATAATAATATACAATACATATGGAAAGGTGCACGTTCGAATACCGAAAATCCGGCGCAATTTTCGATACGATTCGCTGGACTCGGAGCGAGGCCAATCGTACACGGAATTCCCGTATTCGAACGCGCCCCCCTCGATCGAGAGTCATCGAGGAGCCGTAGCGAGCGACTTTTTTCTCACGTTAAGACCTCCTCTACCGCGTTGCAGAGATGCAGCTGTCGTCGGACTACATCGAGCGCTACCTGGGCAAGCTCGACATGATGCAGGAGAGCAAGCTGGTGCAGCTGCGCCACAGCATCGAGGAGCTGCGGCCGAGCTCGGTGCCGTCGGACGCCACCCTGCTGCGCTTCCTGCGCGCCCGCGAGTTCTCCGTGGACAAGGCACGCGAGATGCTGACGCAGTCGCTGCACTGGCGCAAGAAGCACCAGATCGACAAGCTGCTCGAGGAGTACGAGGCGCCGCAGGTCGTCAAGGACTACTTCCCGGGCGGCTGGCACCACTTCGACCGGGAGGGCCGGCCGCTCTACGTGCTCCGGCTCGGCCAGATGGACGTCAAGGGCCTGCTCAAGTCCATCGGCGAGGACGAGCTGCTGCTGCTGGCGCTGCACATCTGCGAGGAGGGCCTGTCGCTCATGGACGAGGCGACCAACGTCTGGGGCCATCCGGTCTCGCAGTGGACGCTGCTCATCGACCTCGAGGGCCTGAACATGCGCCACCTGTGGCGGCCCGGCATCAAGGCGCTGCTGCGCATCATCGAGATCGTCGAGGCCAATTATCCGGAGACGATGGGCCGCGTCCTCATACTGCGCGCGCCCCGCTGCTTCCCGATCCTCTGGACGCTCATCAGCACCTTCATACGTGAGTTATGAGCTTTTTGTATATATATATACGGGCGCGCTCGACAGGGCAGAATTTTTAACGATTTTTGTTTTTTTTTTTTTTTTTTCAAGATGAAAACACCAGGAACAAGTTCGTTTTCTACTGCGGCACGGACTATCAGGAGCAAGGAGCCGGCGGTCTCAGCGACAACATCGATCCCGAATACATACCCGATTTTCTTGGCGGCACTTCGGAGGTAAATTATCGTACTTTCATGGCGCGATTCATCAACTGCGATCTTCGTTTTACTGCTCGATGAATATTTTAACCTTTTTTTCGGTGACAACAACAAAAAAAAAAAAAAAACAATCTATGCGGAGCGACGCAGTAATTTTTGAGTTTCATGATTTTTCTTGAACAGCAGGAGGGTATGCACGAAGAATGTCGTACGATTCCTCGACGCTTTTACGTTTTCGAGTCATCCAACGACGTAAGATTTTTGTACCAACGGAATCAAAGTGATTTCGCACTAGTAGTTTTTACTATACATTTTTCTTGTTGGCATTCGTTTCTCACCAAATTGAACCAGTCACGCGTCAAGTTTTTTTATCCACGTGGTTTTCTTCTCCTTTTCGAGTTATGCATTGCGTGTGGATTTAGCACCAAAAAAAAAACAAAAAAAACATTACTCTCATTCTCTTGGCACTAAAACAATTATCCAACGACCGTTGAAACACGTATCAGTCTCGTGCCATTGCATTGCGTCAACTACTGCAAATGTCGAACCGTTTTGCAATTATCATCGTGCATTGAGATAATAATATGATATAATTACTGTGCCAGTGTGACGTTAAACCGCTTATCAGACATTATTTCGAGACAAGATCTAGAAATAATCGAAAAAACTAATTTTGTTGCCTTCGACACCATAATACATTGTCGAGACTTAACGTGAGAAAATATCGAAGGTGCATTTTTTTCATACATGAGTGTATTTTACCAACCGCCTCCAACATTCCAAAGTATCGTTTGTAAGAACAAAAAAATGCCAACGATTTTGCAGACATACGTCCTGGAAGGCGGTGTCGTGCCGAAAAATCTCTACAAGGCCGACTTGGAGGGTACGAGCGCCGAGCACGAGCACAGCCTGTACCACTCGGTGAGTCTGAGCCGTGGCCAGACTCACAACGTCGCCATACACTGCAACGATCCGGGTGCAGTGCTCACCTGGGATTTCGACGTCATGCGCAATCAGGTCTTGTTCGCCGTGCTGCACAAGGAGAAGTCGAAAGACTCGAACAACACCCTTGGTGAGTTTGCTTTTATACATCATGCGAAATTGGCCTGTTTCATTAACGCTGGAAATTATGTCGCAGCCGCGCCAGGAGCCACGACCGTATTGGAGCCCGACGTCGTTGGAAGCAAAGAGTGGAAGGAGGGCCTGGACGGAATTGTCCGAGTCGAGCCGAGCGTCGTTTGCCACGATGGCGAGAGTATTCAGGTACGAATTTATTTTTCGAACTCTTTTCGGCCGTGTCGGAATTTAATATCGATGAAAAATTTCGTCTTCAGGGTACGCACATCATGCAAGAAGCAGGAATATACATTCTGCAATGGCAGAATCCAGAGGAGCAAGGAGAATTTCTACCCTCTATCAGCTCTCACAAAGCTCAACTGATGTATTACTACGAGACGCTACCGTCGGCTCATTACAAGTAAACAATTGCGTTACTTATTTTACCATCGATACCTCATTGTAGAAAACGTAGCTGGAATTAACGCACTCGATTGTCTGTACTGTTCAAAGGGGTTCCATGATGAGCCTTCAATCGGCGATAAGTGGCCGATCGGTGGCAAGCTCGTCGCTGTCCAGATGAGAAGGAAACGCGAGTACGAGCAAAACAGAACCTGGCGACAAGACGTAATGCGCTCCTACCAATTGCCTCGTCCTCGATCATCGCGTCTTGACCAAGTAAATTGTATACGATACAACTTTCCAGGTTAGCTCGGTACTTTTTAGCTTCGAAGAAAAATTCGACTCTGCAATCATGGGAAATTCTCCTAATGAAATAATAACGACTTCGAGGCGAGAAAAAATTACTCGACTCGCTGCTAGATAAAGAAAAATTACAATCGTTGACAAATCTGTTAGACTAATTATATAATTGTAATGTTGTCGTTGCCTTAACAATTATTTTCGTATGTAAGGAATTATTTCGGTTACGAGATTAATTCATGTATGACGTAATCTAGGTAAAAGAAGAAAAGTGTAGTTATGATTTTCCATTGCTTATGATGTATAGATTGGAAATCTGTGTGTGAAGTTAATTTTAGCTTGTCGATTATTTTTTACGGAAAATCTAATTTGTATTCTGAAGAATGTTATTCTGTCTCGAATTATTTATTGGTGAATACAAATATATAATAAAATACATTCATCGATGAAGATGATATGTAGTGATCTGAAATGGATAATAATGTTTAAACAAAACTTTTTTGTTTTTAATTTTAACAATGCAAAAGCTTGCATTAATTGTACATAAGTGACGAGTGTGTTTCGATTTTTAGGTTAGATAATTTCAAACTTTTCTTACGTGATTTGTGTTGTGAGGTTTGATGAAAATACCCAGAGAGACGTTTATCTTTTGTAAAATATGTTCATATTATACATAATGCAGCGACTATACTGATAGCTCGCTAAGTCATTTATTGTAAACGATTGCAATAATAAATAAAAATAATGAATTTTAAATATATCAAATATTATCCGCATATCATATAAGGATTTTGTTGCAATTACATGAAATTTCTCCGTACATATAATATAATCTTCTATAAGTTCTAACACTGCAGTAATTAATTTGATGAAAATAACTTTTTTATAGTATAAGAATTATATCTTTTATGTTTTACAACAGATACAGCACATATGTATTAGTAGTAATGGACTCAATTTTTTAAATTGTATACATTTTATTAATACTGATTTCGTTTTTTTCAATTGGCTTTATAAAATGAAAATTGATCAAATGGATCATACAGACTTGATAGCACACATTAAGTGAAGTTGAAAAAATACCACCTTGAAATTTTTGTTCTATTTAAATATTTTACACATCTCTTAGAAAGTTATTGTATCTTTAATTGCAAAAAAATTTCATTACGTTGATAATACTCAATACAAGCGTATATTACCAATCGATATTATTCATAAATACTTGAAAAGAACATTATACATTTCTCATAGAAATGTGGTTTTATTACATGTGTCAATTTATAATAAGTACGAAATTTTCATTCGGAAATAAATTGTAGACCTACAAACAAGTGCAATAATAATATAATTATTATATTTTCATTTACATGAAATCTACAAGTCTACAAGTGTTGTTTTTTCAAAATTCTTTGAAATTATACGTATTATAGAAAAAATATGCACTTTAAAATAGAGTGATCATTGCTATCAGTTGCTATCTCATTTCGCTTAGATTGGCAAAGCCTAAAGATCGCTGACCTAGTATTATGAAAAAATATTTCACATGCAATGTTAAAAATGAATGCTATTTGTCACAACTCATTTTCAATGAAGCATTTGTCTTATTCTGTAAGAGTTCAATCAAGTTAAGTTTATTTCAAGCTTTTCTAAATAAATAATTCTTTTTACAAAGAACATCAATCATGACTATGCATCAAACTACCTAATAATCAAGTGCATAATTGTCTCAAATAATAACAAAAAAATGTACTATTAATCAGAAAAGTTATTGCAAGGCCGATTGTTAGATCAAATAGTTGTTCTCTATATTTGATTTTTGATTGCCTATGTTATGCCCAGGTATTGCTACAATTATGGTTCAATCAAAATATATTTTCTTAAGGGAAGTTGTACAAATATATAAAAAAAAACATCAGTAAAGTGTTTGATACATAATATGATGTGTTAATTATATAAAGAATGATCAATTACGTCAAACATCTCATTGATTGTTCAGAGTGTGATGTAGTAAAATTTTCAAACGTTCATAACATAAGATAGTATTAAGTAAGGTTTTTTGCAATTTTTATGTTAAAATCGGTTAATAAATGAGTAGTTAAATCTAGTAGCCATGAATAAATTTTCTACATCTTTTGTCAGATTTTTTTTGAAAATCATTCAATGATTTACAAAGTGTTAAATTCATGTGAAACTGAAGAGCATTAATAAATACGCTACCTTTGTATGTTATCTTCTCGCATGGCTAATATATTTAACTGCCTTGTTATTGTGCAAATGTTCAAAAACTGTAGTAAAAGTCATTCATGAACAATTTGTCTTCACTTGGAACTGTAGTACAAGTTAATACATTATAATAATGTAATGTGATAAAGAATAATTCTTCGATTGGAAATACAAAGTACATGAAAAGTATAAATAGTATGATTAATTATCTTGCTTACAATTAGATCATTTTTTATAGAATAGTCACATTTTTCAAGTTAATCAGTTAGATTCAAATCTAACAATTCTATTACGAGAGAACCCGACGCAAGAAAACGTGTTTCTTTTTCATAAAAACTGGTAAATAGATATGATGTGTTATGTATGCAAGCACATGATGCAAGAGACGGAAAATGAACTGCACTGTAGCGGTAACTGCGTCCGAAAAGGACTTCCGGGGGTTATCTCGGTGGTATTTTGCGGTTTGTCCTGCTATTTATGACTCTTGTTCCTCGTACTCGTTGCGAGGCGCGCCGCAACTTGATCGTACTCGAGTCTCTGTGAGCATATGTATATGAGCAAGGAATCTTCGAGGGTGCGTCTTTTCTTTTAAATATGTGCACTGATATGAGAAATTCGTCGAGGTAAAGCGTAAAACTGTGAAATACTTAGACCGTCATATTATTGTCACTTACGAAAGTCGATCGATCATACTAGGCGTTTAATACCAAGTGTCCTAGCGTGGATGTGGCAATGTGGAGATGTGGAGCAATTTGAGGCGAAATTTGTTAATTTCTAATCCGCCGGAAAACCCCCTGAATGCACTTACAAAAAAAATACGTGACGTATGGCTTCAATTGGAAATTTTCTCAGCTTTTCAATAGTGAAGTGAGATTTTTGAAAATTTTCATTTTCCCTGGAAAATTTAAAAAATGAACTTTAAACATTATATATTATATCTCAAAAAATGTATTTTTAAGATTTTGTGATATAGTTCGAAAGTTGAGGAGATTTCGAAAATCTGACTTCGGGGAAAGCTGAGGAAATTATTGTTTGTATGTTCGTGGGTGCAATTGCCATGTCTACGCTTGCACATGAGTGCTCTTTGTGAATGATGTAGCAATAGTTGTAAATTATTTTATTATATTTTTAATAATAATTCATTGCACATAGTTTAAATGAATGACACAAAAGTGTGGCATCAAAAGCTACGTGACACAACATGACGTACTAATTGTTTTATTGTACAAATTAACATTTTTTGAAAATTTTCATGGAGTATTTGTAAATGGACGCAGTTATTTAATGTGTACATTTGAATGATCATTTCGATAATCGATTTTCTACTGAGGCCTCCAATTGAATGTAAAAAAAATAATTACCTTCAAGTGGTCGGAGTGTCACCTTTTGGGGTCGCTATAAGTTTATCAATAATCTTTTGAGATGAAAACCCCGACCTCCTGGAGTATAATTATCATAAAATGATTTATTGCATGCATAAATGAACGAGAATGTATTCAATTCAATTCTGCAGAAGCAAATTTCACTGCATTTTTAAAGGCAACTTGTGATAAACCTAGACATAGAGAGGCACCAGCGGCTTCGATTTCTTCGTCCGTAAAAGCTTTGACATCTTCTTTCGATGAGACTTCCTCGTTCTCCATTTCTTCTGATAAAGGAAAAAATGTAACATACATTTTATCACTATAGACTTCAATAATTTTTGCTGGCCAGAAATACGAGTTAAACCTTTTTGCCAACACCACCTCATTGGGAGAGTAACGGGAAAGAAATCCCTGGTCTACTGGTATTGGTACAACTGAAGGAGGGTCAACATGTTCCAATGGCATATCTGGGATCGGTGGAAGGGTTTCCTCGTCATCGGTGGTCACATTTATTGGATGATCTTCGATAAGATCGATCATGTTGGTTGATAGTTCATCTTTATTATCCATCAGTTGATTAGCTTCAATAGCTTTATTACCTCTACAGAAAATTAAATGCAGTTTTTAAGTACATAATTGTATATTATTTTTAACATATTTACTTACATCAATTGAATCGACGCATTTTTTATATATTCGATCTCCTCAGAATCAATATCGATATTTTGTAAATATAAACGAATCGTTTCCAGATTTCTTTTTTTACACTGAAAAAAAGATCTAGCCGATTTAGCTAAGGCTTGATTGACTTTATTTTCTTTAGGAATACCACAGAGTTCTTTATATAATGCGGTGGCCTTAGAGAAACTGCCGTCATAAATCTTTCTATACTCTTCATAATCTTGTCCAGGAAAAAGAACATATTCAACGCATACGACAGTTAATATCCCACGATTTATTCGATAAAGATTAGTTACTGTCAAGTATTCAATTTTATAATTAAGAATCGCTTTTTTAAACTCTTTTAATTGTAATTTTAAAGGTCGTCTGTTGACGAATTTTTTCATTCCCTCGCGTAGTATATCTATTAAAATTCTTTCGTTCTCTAAATCTTCTTCTTTTACTTCTTTGTTCTCTAAATAATTCACCAAATTAATAATAGCATCTGCCATAGGTTTTTTTTGAAAATATTCTCGATTCATAATATTTATTTGCAATGGAACAATGTTAACAGTTTTAAAAGTTTTATTATTATTTCTGGAAATTAAATTAAATGTTATGTATATAATTGTGGTACGCATTTTCAAAATATTGACTTACATAAATTGAATCGACGCATTTATTATGTAGTGCTTTTCTTCTACATTAATGTCAACAGTTTTCAAATAAGATCGAACTGTTTCTAGAGATGTCTTTTCATTAAAAAACAAGCCGCTTTTAAAAAAAGATCTGGTTGATTTAACTATAACAGGGTCGAGTTCTTCTTCTGTTGTGAAACCACAATGTTCACGCAGTTTTTTATACAGATTGGCTGCCAGAGAATTCCAGCAGTTATATATTGTTCTATGTTTTCTATGGTCTTTTCCGGGGTATAAGACATGTTCAACACAAGCGACGGCCAATATACCACGATTTATTCGATATAGATTAGTTTTCTTCAATTCATCAATTTTAAAAAAACAAAGAGTTTCTTTCAAGGCATTAATATCTTCTGTCGTAAGGGATATTTTCTTTCCCATTCCTTTGAGTATTATATCCTTCAAAATATCTTTATTATCTAAATTTTCTTCTGTAATTTCATTTTTATTTAAATAATCTACTAAATGTATAATATAAACTGCAGTACTTTTTTTACGGAAATACTCTTCTGTCATTAATCTTCCCGGCATTTTTTTTCTTTTGTCAAATGCTCTGATACTGATGAAACTTTATATTTAAAACTATTTGACGTTGGATGGTTATTATAGATATTTAATTTTGAATAGATTAATTAATGTTACAATCTGATGTGTAAGACGTTCGAGAATAATCGCTTTTCTGTCAATACTAACAGACACGCAAATGTACACTTTGCTCCAGATCAATATTGTGTTTCCTCACTCACATAGAATTTAAATCGGTAGAAGAATAAATATACCAAAACATATAGACGAGCGGCTGCGAGGCGAGAAATCGAGACTCTAGGTGTTATACTCCCGCGAATATTTAGTGTCATCTCACGCAAATATTTAACCAGTACGTACATTCAACTTTGTGGATTTTTCAATTAAATTTCAGTACGCTGGGCTTTTAAAATTATTTCAAATGAGTTGCACGACGTATATTAGACACGTAATGATCGTTAAATAGCGCGAGGGAGAAACGACTGTCAACGATCTGATATCGTTATTGCTGCGTTATATAGCACGTTTTAAATAATAATGTATTCATTTTTACTTTTTTTTTCCTTATCGCCTGCAGCCACCCAGAAGTCATCTTCAACAGTGTCAAAATATGGTACAAAGTTGTGTTCTTCGAGGAACTGTTATTTTTATAAAATCGCCACTTTTATTTTCTATCATTCTCCAAAAACCATGTCTACATAAAAATCAATACTCTCGAAATCGATAATCTGTGGATTTTCCTGCTCGCTATAGGCGATCACTCGATCCATTTTTTTATTTGCAAATATTATAAAGATTATATTTAAAATATTAATGCGCGGTTTTTTGCCAAGAAGATATTGGTATATTAATAGAGTAGAGAACGAGCTCAATAGGCTGTTATCAGAGACCGTCACTAACCGCTTCGCACGAA